GTGACTTCTATCACCACCCAGACGATGTGTAAACAAATGTATATCCTGACTTCTGTAAACCACTGAGGTAACAAACAGAATGACAAAAGTCCCCTAGCCCTTGGATTGTCCGGAGACCCCTGCCCTTGTCTCCACCCAGGAGGTGAATCACAGAATCCCCTAGCCCTTGAAATGTCCGAAACCTTATCATCCCCATCCCCGCCCCTCACCCCCACTCCCAAGGTGGTTTTTTGGGTATAAAAAATCATGGCACCCTCCTTTTGGCACCACAGGTTGGAGAGACGTGAGTCCTCTGTGGTCGCCGGCATAAATAAATGACCCTGCAATCTGGCATACTTTTGTCTCGTGATAACTTTCTACGCTCCGGTCAAATACAACACCTGTTGTTCTAACTAATTGGGAGGCTGGGAGGATTCCTCGGGCCCACGATTTTGAGGCTGCAGAGAGCTATGATCACGTGGCTGCACTCCAGCCTCAGGGACAGACGGAGACCCCATCTCCCATCTGTTTTAAATAAATAAATAAATAAATAAATAAAAAAGTTTACCTGCAGTTTCAAATGCAAGCATGCTTGTAACTAATGTGAAATGAGACCTCCTAAAAAGCTGAATGACCTGGGGCCCAATTTGACCTGAGTATCTTTGCTGAGTTTTTTTTTTTATTTTATTTTTTTCAAGAGAAGCTTTTACCCTGGTCAGACATTTTAACTGTAAATCTACTAGAAAACACTCTGAATCAGAAAAGAAAAATCCAGAAAGATCTGATACCCACAAACAGAACTTAAATGTCAGTTAGGACCCTTTCTTTAAAAAATTACCAATTCAAAATAGCTCTAGTGAAAGAGGTAATTCGTTCACTCAAACTGTCATCTCCTTTAGTGATCCAATGTAAAGAGTTTTCTTCAGTCATGGCTCAATTTGGTTACATAAAGTGTCATCCAGACATGCTTTCTGTCAATTCTCTTACTTGATGACTTCCAACACAGCCAGATTCATCCCCTGAGGCATCAGAAGAGCTACAGCAGCCTCTGATTTTTAACCTCCCCATTTCAAGTGCAGAAGAAAAGATCAAAAGCCTTTTGCAGGGATCGGCCCCCTAAAAGGAACATAAATTAGCTAGGTCCAGTGACCAACTCTAAAATCATCAACATTCCTTGGAAAGCATTTTGATTGTCTAGACCTTTGTCAAATGCTACACCACTGGAGTGAAGTGTAGACCTGTGTAGATAGGCCAGAAAAGTGGAAGTAGATTCTGGGGCAGCAAGAAACCCTATCTACTAAACCTAATATAGTATAAGATCCCAGTGTCCTCTATCTCTCATCATTCAACCCTTGTCTCATATTATCAGTCACCAAGTATTACAGATTACTTGTTAAATAATCCCTTTCATCAATAGTATAATTGCATTAGTTAACTTGAAACATTTCATTAGTTCATTCCTTCAACAAGTGTGCATTATCTATAATGTGTGAACATTATACATTATCACTGAGCAAGGATATATAAAGAAAGCAAACATAGATTCTGCCGTTAAGGAGCTCACAGCCCATGCAGAAGAAAACAGATTATTATTATAAGAGATGTTGTGATACAAATATATATATATATAGTGCCATGTGAATAGGATTTAAGGATCATAATGAATTACTAAGGAGGTGAGGTCTGACTGAAGCTAGGTAAGGAATGTTATTACAACCAGAAGGATCAGCTTGAGCAAGGGCACTGAAGTAAAAAGCAGCCTGATCAACATTCTGGTTTCAATAATGCATTGTAGTTGTATAAGACATCATTATTGGGGGAAATAGGGTGATGAGTACACAGGATCTCTCTGTATTATTTTTGAAACTTCCTGTGTCTACAATTATTTTTCCCCCCAAAAAAGTGTTTTAAAAGCAACAAAGCATGTGAAGTGTTGTTCTAAACTTCTTGCACACTGCTGGAGCATCTGCTTGAAAGGTGGAGTTTGGAAGATGTTGCAGAAAAGGTGGGCAAGTACCACCTTGAAAAGTAGGCTCACCACTTGTTTGAATCTTTTACCATAGTACTGGAGAACTTGATGGGCTTTAAGCTGGAGATTGACTTGACTCCTGCTATTTGTGTCACCTTTTCCTTGTGTATCAAAGGGGAGACTAGTCCTTATTCTGCAACAATTTTACTCTGCAACCAAAGCCTCTAGTGCTTTGCTTTTCTCAGATTTTTTTAACCCTTTGAACTTGGGAGATTCTTGTCTTATCCTCTGAGTGACTTCAGCAAATTCTCTAAAGCCTATTTTTCTTCCCCACCATATGAGCCTTGAAGCCGACTTTGCCAACCCTCTACTATAGGCTAACCTTGATACCTATGTTACAATGTAATCAGAACGGTGGAGAAGTCAGGCTGGAAAAACACAGCATTACCCAGGGGTCTAGCCAACAAGAGCCCAGCAACAAAGAGCCATGAAAAGTCATTTTCAGTTTGTTCTAGTGGATTATTCATTAGCTATTAATATTTGTTTAAAAACATTTATTGTGCACCAACTTCATAGTAGATTCCATGGAAAAATGAGTAGGGCAAAATCTCTGTCCTCAATCACCTTCAGCTGAGGGATCAGGAATATAACATAGTCTCATTAGAAGATAAGAACCATGTTTGTGGTTTATAAAAGCAGAGTGTTGGCACAAAGAGAGAGAATCAATTCATCCTGAGATGGCTGGGTCACCAAGAGGGCAAAGAATCAAATCTAACTTATGAGGCATGGAAACAGTGATGAGTAGCAGTGACCTGAAGTATATGAACTGTATTTATCTTCATGTCCTAGAGAGTCATAAATTGTGCACGTTACAAAAGCAGTCTGGTACCCTCTCCAGACTGGAAATGTGAAAAGGCTTCAAGCAATGCTTTCCTGTACCACTGCACATTAGAGAGATTAAGCATCCCAAGACATAATTAAAAAAAAAAATTCTAGAGGGAGAACTTTCCCTAGAAATGAAAGAATCTAAATGTGTGACAACTATTTTAGATGAAGGACAAGACAGAGACTAAAGGAAAGCAGGAGATTCAGTCATTCATGGACTCATTCAATGAATATTTATTGAGTCCTACTTTATGCAAAGCACCATAGTAGTATCTCAGTATTTTGAGAATTACAAAAATCAACCATTGGCATGAGTCTCTAAAAATACTTATCTTGTTAGCAAGTTCTGATGCAGCCTCTCACAACTGCCTTCCCATTCAAAAATAAATGAAAGCACACTGAAAAGAGGAACAATTATCTTAAAGAAGGTAGGAAAGAACGTAAATATTCTTTGTTGTCTCATTCATTTTAGAGACCTAGAAACTACTCACCCTGAAAACCTATGTTGACATCTCTCTATTGGTTAGGTGCTATATTTTGTGTTTGCCAGAGAAGTGTCCCCGCAAACTTCATCTTTGTATAGCTAAACAGAGAAAGGGAAGAAAGGGCAGAGTGTTATGGGAATGAGGGATGGAAGTGTAAGGATGGAGGAGGAAGAGGGGTGGAAGAAGAAATCTGCACTCCCATGGCTATAGATTCCATTAAAATAACTGAAACACCAAAAAGAGCCCCATGCTTCCCAAGGCTTGCTTTGTTTGTTACAGTTGCTTGCTTTGTAGTTTTGTTTTTCAATATATGCTATCGCTTACATGGAAGAAACTCCCAACTTGGTTATGCAAAACTGTATGAGATATAGGACTCCCAATCTCTAGTGTTTAGTGGGAGCTATCACAAAGAGCCTTCCAATCAAATATCTAAGGGTTCCAAGCACTCAGATAGTCAGAGAGTGAGGTCACTAGCAACTCACACCCCTCAGCTAAAGAAAAAGGCACAATTTGGAGAAATTTCTTCTCATCTGAAGATGATTGTTAATATTACTATCATGAGAATAAGAATAGTTAACATTAATGAAGGAGTTTCTATGTACCAGGCACTGAACTAAACACTTTAAATGCTTTGTCTACTTTGTCATGTCAACTCCATGAAACAAAATCTATTACTCCCTAATAAGCAACTTCAGCAAAGTCTCAGGATACAAAAATCACAAGCATTCCTATATACCAATAACAGACAAACGGCCAAATCATGAGTGAACTTCCATTCACAAGTGCTACAAATAAAATACCTAGGAATCAACTAACAAGTGATGTGAAGGACCTCTTCAAGGAGAACTACAAACCACTGCTCAAGGAAATAAGAGAGGATCCAAACAGATGGAAAAACATTGCTCATGGTTCGGAAGAATTAATATCATGAAAATGGCCATATTGCCCAAAGTAATTTATAGATTCAATGCTATCCCCATAAAACTACCATCGACCTTCTTCACAGAACTGGAAAAAACAACCTTAAACTTCATATGGAACCAAAAATGAGCCCACATAGCCAAGAAAACCCTAAGCAAAAAAAACAAAGCTGGAGGCATCACATTACCTAATTTCAAGCTATACTACAAGGCTACAGTAATCAAAACAGCATGGTACTAGTATCAACATAGAGATGTAAGACCAATGGAACAGAACAGAGCCTTCAGATGTAACTCCACACATCTACAACCATCTGATCTTTGACAACCCTGACAAAAACAAGCAATGGGCAAAGGATTCCCTGTTTAATAAATGATGTTGGGAAAACTGGGTAGCCATATGCAGGAAGCTGAAACTGGACCCCTTCCTTACACCTTATACAAAAATGAACTCCAGATGGATTAAAGATTTAAACATAAGACCTAACACCATAAAAATCCTAGAAGAAAATCTAGGCGATACCACATTTAGGACATAGGCATAGGCAAGGACTTCATGACTAACACACCAAAAGCAATGGCAACAAAAGCCAAAATAGGCAAATGAGATCTAATTAAGCTTAAGAGCTTCTGCACAGCAAAAGAAGCTATTATTGGAGTGAATGGCAACCAACAGAATGGGAAAAAAAATTTTGCAAACTACCCATTTTTTAAAATAGTTTAGTGAATTTTAATAGCAAATTTACAGGAATAGCACAGAAGACAGACAACGTTAAAAATATGTACTTGCCTGTAGGACAACTCAGTTAGAAAAGCATAGTGAATGGATGGAATCTACTGTATGATAAAAATGCTACGAACACCATTTAGTTGCTGTCAATAAGACATGTACTTTTTAGAAAAAGAAATCCAAATGCTGGCATTGCTCAGAAAAAAATTTAACAGGTTTATTTATAATTATAAAGTTGAACTGGTGAAACTTGTTCACTGAAACATTTTAACTTGCATTAATGCTTTACCTCTCCATTTATATTAAAAATTCACACACAAATGAAAATGGAAAAATTGTCAATACCTGATTTCTGTCCCCTATTTTTCCACTCACAATCATATACTTAGGTACCTTTTGACCCCATGGAAAAAAATTACCTAATGTTCAGAACAACCAATCTGACAATCTACCCATCTGACAAAGGGCTAATATCTAGAATTTACAAAGAAATTAAATTTACAAGAAAAAAACAACCCCATCAAAAAGTGGACGAAGGATATGAACAGACACTTTTCAAAAGAAGACATTTATGCAGCCAACAAACATGAAAAAATGCTCACATCATTGGTCATTAGAGAAATGCAAATGAAAACCACATCCAGATACTATCTTATGCCAGTTAGAATGGCCGTCATTAAAAACCTGGAGACAATAGATGCTGGAGAAGATGTGGAGAAATAGGGATGCTTTTACACTGTTGGTGGAAGTGTAAATTAGTTCAACCACTGTGGAAGACAGTATGGCAATTCCTCAAGGATCTAGAAATAGAAATACCCTTTGACTCAGCAATCCCATTACTGGGTATATACCCAAAGGATTATAAATCATTCTATTATGAAGCCTCATGTATAAGTATGTTCATTGTGGCACTATTTACAATAGCAAAGATGTGGAACCAACCCAAATGCCCATCAATACTAGACTGGATAAAGAAAATGTGGCACAAATACACCATGGAATACTATGCAGCCATGAAAAAGGATGAGTTCACGTCCTTTACAGGGACATGGATGAATCTGGAAACCATCATTCTCAGCAAACTGACACAAGAACAGAGAACCAAACACCACATGTTCTCACTCATAAATGGGTGTTAAGCAATGAGAACACAAGGACACAGGGAGGGGAACATCACACACTGAGGCCTGCTGGGGGATGGGGGAGCTAGGGGAGGGCTAGCAAGGGGTGAGGGGATTGTGAAGGGATAACATTAGGATAAATACCTAATGTAGATGACAGAGGGATGGATGCAGCAAACCACCATGGGATGTGTATACCTATGTAACAGTCCTGCACGATCTACATATGTACCTCAGAACTTAAAGTATAAAGAAAAAAAGAGTTAAAAAAATAAAATTCACAGAAGAGAAATTTTATGGTATAAATTATTATAATTTAATGACAATAATATTTTGTTAACAATGGTAAATTCTCAAACATAATGGGTAAATAATAGGACCAGACTTAAAAATATATACATGCAAAAGTCAACAAATAATGGAAAATGGTACTTTCAACTCATTATCAAAAACAGCAAGTAAAAACAATAGGCAATAATGAACTACATTTTAGGAAACATTACATTATAATATCTAGTGTGTTCTTAAATTCCAGAAATTGTCAAATATGCTGGTAAGGCTATTATGTTTTCAGAACTTTACTAAAAGCCTTTTGGAAAATGTCTCAAAACCTTCAAGTAATTCATATGCTTTCCCCTGGTAGTTCAATTCCCTAAAACATTCAAAGTATCAAAGATCTGCAGAAAAATTATAAAACATTGCATTATGCAAAAAAGTGAAGACATCCTAAATATTGAATAAATCAAAATTTGTTTTGAAATGCATTGTTCATTCAAATAACAATGTTTTGCAACTATTAATAATAATTTTGAGTTCTCCCACTTTGATTTTCTTTTGCAAGATGGGTTGACAACTCTTTCAAGATGGTTCGCATTTTCATTTGAACCTTAGGATCAGCTTATCAGTTTTCACAAAAATACCAGCTGATATTTTGATAAGGATTTGTCGAATCTAGATTAAACAGTACTGCCATCTTTACAATTGTAAGTCATATGATCCATATCATGGATCCATTTACAGATTCCCACTTATTTAGATCTGCTTCAATATCTTTCCACGAATTTTTGTGGTATTCAGTGTACAAATGTTGCACTTATGTCACTAAATTCATGCACAGGATTTTAGTGTTTTAGATATTATTGCAAATATTTTCTCAGTTTCATTTTTGGATTATTAACTGCTAAGGTATAGAAATACAATTGATTTTTGTAGGCTGGTGACATATCCTGCAACATTTCTGAACTCATTTATTAGCTCTAATAGCTTTTACAGAATTCCTTTAGGTTTTCTATACACAACATCATATCATCTTATTTTTGCACTTAATGTATAAATGTTTTCATTTTCTTATGACTTTCTGAATAACATTTACTTTTCTCTAGTTTACTATTTTTTTAATTGATATATAATAATTATACATGGAGTGCAGTGATGTTTTGATACATATAATGTATACTGAAGAGATCAGAATTATTAGCATATCCATCATCTCAAATGTCGATCATGTCTTTGTATTAAGAATATTCAATATGCTTCCTCTAGATACTTGAAACAGTATATTATTGTTAGCTATAGTCATCTTACGTGCTACAGAACACTATAACTTATTCCTTCTATCTAGCTGTATTTTGCGCCCTTTAACAACTCTCTCCCTATTCCTTCTCCCTTTTCTCTGTACTTTTCAGCCTCCAATATCCCGTTTCACTCTTTACTTCTATGAGATCAACTTTTCTTAGTTTCCACATATTAACGAGAACATGGGGTACTTAACTTTGTTCCATTTCACTTGATGTAATGCCCTCCATTTCCATACATGTTGCTGCAGATGACAGAATTTTGTTATTTTTGTGGCTGAATAATATTCCATTGGGCATCTACTCCATTTTTTCTTTATTCATTTATCTGTTGTTGAATACCTGAGTTGATTCCATATCTTGGCTATTATTTTAATTCTTTTCTTATTATATTTGCTAAATATTATACAGTTATTTTCTTAATGATTGTTCTGGAGATTACAATGTCTTAATTTAAAACAATCTAGTGTGGATTAATATTAACTTAATACTGCATAAAGACTTTGCTCTAATATAACTCCCTTATATCCCCCTTGTCATTATTTTCATAATGTTATGTGGCAATACATTATAAACCCATCAACAGTGTTTTATTATTGTTTCATGTAGTTTTTAAAAATCACATAGGAAAATAAAAGTTACATACAAAAATATATTTATGCCATATTTTATAACTACAGTTTAGTTATATTTACTGGTGCCAATCTTTTTTTGTTGTTGTTGAGACAGGGTTTCACTCTATTGCCCAGCCTGGAGTGCAATGACATGATCACAGCTCACTACAGCCTCAACTTCCCAGGCTCAAGTGACCTTCCCACGTTATCCTCCTGAGTAGCTGGGACTACAGGTGTGCACCACCACACCCAGCTAATTTTAAAAGTTTTTGTAGAGACAGAGTTTCATCATGTTGCCCAGGCTGGTCTCAAACTCCTGACCTCCCTAATCTACCTGCCTCAGCCTCCAAAAGTGCTGGGATTATAGGCATGAGCTACCATGCTCAGCTCTTTACCCAATCTTTAAGAGAATGTCTGCTAGCAACAAATTCTTTTAGCTTTCCTTTCTTTGGGAATGTCTTCAATTTCTTTTTATTCCTGAAGAATAATTTCACTGAGTTTAGACTTTGCAGTTGACAGTTCTTTTCTTTCAACACATGAAATATGTTGTGCCACTTCCTCTAACCACTATGATTTCAAAACTAAATTCCCTGTCATTCAAATTGGTATCCCTATGTAAGTAAAGTGTCATTTCTCTGTGGTTTTCAAGATTTATCTTTGTCTTAAGTTTTCAGAAGTTTAATTATAGTATATCTTGGTATTAATTTTTTTGGATTTATATTATTTGTGGTTTTCTCAACTTCTTGAATCTGTGGATTCATGTCTTTCACCAATTTGGAAAACTTTCAGGCATCATTTATTCAAATTTTCTTTCAGTCTAGCTCCTTCCCTTATCTTTCCTTCTAGGGTTCCAATGATACAAAGTTAGATCTTTGGTTATTGTGTTAATAGGTTCCTGAGGTTCTGTTTTCTTTTTTTTGGTGTAGTATATTTTCTCTCTCATGTTCAGACTGGGTAAATTCTATCATCTTCAAGTTCACTTATTCCATGTTTTGTTATCTCTATTCTATTAAGTCTATCTAGTGAGTTCTAAATTTTCTGTTGTATTTTTAAATTCTATATTTACCATATTTTTATACCTTCTATTTCTTTGCTACAATATTGTTTTTTCATTTGTTCAAAATAATTTATCATTAATTATTGAAACATTTTTATTATGGTTGTTTTAGAATCCTTGCCAGATAACTCCAACGTGTGATTTACTAAAGTGCTGGCTTTCATTATCTCTCAGCTCTCAAGTTGTGATTTCTTTGATTATTGATTATGATGTTTGATTTCTGATTGCATTCCGGATATTTTGTCTCTTATGTTAGTAAACTCTAGGTTCTACTAAAATGTTTTATTTCATCAAGAAATCAGCACATTTGGCTTTAGCATGCAGATCCTGGCCACTTTATGGATTGTAGTTCCAATAACAGTTTAAGTTTCAGAGATATTGTGATATTATTTTGGTCTGCTTTGTTTATCTGGTGCCACTGTTCCTGTTTGTCCCTGCTGATGCTGTCTGAGAGGATGGAAAATTTCCCTAGGTCAGGCTGCTAGATGTGCTTCACTGTAGAATGGGGAGGTGATGTGGGTGATGAAGATGCCTCCCAGACAGGGGGTTGCTATGGTAGTGTGATTGGGCCCTGTCATCCCAGGTGTCTCTGGGCAGGGAAGAGGAATCTCAGGTTTTCACAGGTGCAAAGTCAGGCTACTGTTGTGACAGGGTCTCTATTGCTGGTGCAGAAGGACATCTCAGTTTCTCTCAGCAGGGGAGTAGTCTCAGGTCAGGTGTGAAAGGTGAGCACTTCCCTTTGCCTCTGATTATTGGCAGGGCAGTTGATTCTACTTACCAGTGGTGGTGGGCTCACATGATATTGTTGGAGGTATGAGCATTCTATCTGGGAGAGGAATAAGCCTCCCTGAGCTGCCTTCTGTGGAAACTGTCTGGTCTGTGTCACTTTCTGCAGTTGAGTGAAGGTAGAAGGAATACTGCACCATACACCTGTGTTGTTCTTCTGGTCCTAGGGTTTCTAATTAGTTTTTCATTCTCTTACCACCTTTCAAAGTTCTCCCTTGTTTTCTTCTTGTTCTGTTTTCCAGATTTATTGCTATATTTATCAGGGAA